CTCCTCGGGTTTTTTGTTATCAGCAGCGATGACAGCGTTTCGTAGTTACTGGACATGGAACTGTGTGGAATGTTCAACAATCCTCCCAAACCCACAAGATAGCAAAACAGTCCTTATCGGTTGGAGAATACAAGTTCTCTGAGCCTGTTAGCAAGATACGGGTGTATTCTATCAGCCAAGTTGATTGGAACAGCGCAGCACCGATAGCAATGTTGCTCCCGTCAGTCGCCAAAGTGAACTGCTCACTCGGATTTGGTACGCGTTAATCTGCTGGATCCTTTGCTACACACAAGTTTAAGTGGTTGAAGGCCTCCCAGCCGTGACACGCCATAACCGGTTTTATCCTCGTTGGGGCTCATCAGATGGAGATAGTCTGAGCTAGGGTGGAACTCGGAGCCTAGGGGTTAAAGGCAGACGCTTTGATCATTATAGCTCTAAGGTACGTGAGTAACGCTTGGCGCAGCGGTTAGGAATGCAAAGTTTGATTTGGAGTAACCTCTGCGTAATTAGATTGCGACACGTAATTCTGTCTGATTCATTGACCTTCAACAAACAGCTTTTCTTTTCTTGGCACAGACCCGCCACTGTTCGTCGTTCGCATTACGCTCGTTATGTGGGCTTACGTTGTGCCGTTTGATCACGTCCGTGATGTCCTCCTCCGTTTCTGTCCTTCCTCGATCTAGTGGCTTCACGTCCTCAGCGTAATCGTTACCGTCCACGCCACTGCAATAATTGTGAATTTATTATGGTGCTGCAGCTCACGTGAGTTTGTTCCTCGTGGCTCTGCGAAACAGGCCGCCAAAGTTGCACTGAAGATGTTGTATACTTTGGCAAAGATCGGACAACATGACAAAACACACATCCACACCCCATCTAAGGATATTCACTAATATGTCTCACCGTCATTTACTTTTCATTTACAAGATGGTGTGTGCCTCATGATGCGGGTCGAGGCATTATTCCAAACGTAGTTACATGTGCTATTCCCTGAGATCAGTTAGATTTACGGTTGCCTCGTTCGAATGCCATAGCTTTTTACTTAAACAGAATTTGACTGCCGTGGTATCGGGGTCGGAATCCTTTACTATTTGCCAAAATATTAGTTCGGTGAAACCTCGTTCATACCAGCTTTGTTCTCCGTGACTTCGCTTGAGGTTTACTTGTTCAGAAATTTAAATTAAACGTGTTGCCAACTTAACCGATTTTGATGAAGGTAAAAGGGTTTGTTTTTTGCCGGCGACTGTTACACACCAGACCCTCGTTTCTGAACTGAGGATTTTGCTCGAGTGCATCAAAGCACCACGATGCAGTCGGTGGATGGACTAGTTAAGAAATTTGACTTCATTGTCCCTTTTAGATGTGTTTTGGGATGGTCACAAGTTGCTTTCAAAATAGTGGTTGTCCTTCTATATTGAATTGATAAATGGATGGCATTTGTGCATAATCGAAGCATTAGTTCAGTCACTATAAACCATCATACTACAGTAGCTCATTATTTTCCAAATGAGTTAGAGGAAAGAAAACAGCCTGCCACCTCGAACGGTGTCAAGCATACCAATTACTCAATGGTATTGTCCTTAAAGAGGAGGCTGTGCTTCACAGCAGTTACTGTGAACCACGTTGACACCACAGATGTAGGGACTCGTTGCCTCATTAATCTTAGAACCGATGTACGCATGACCCGTTATTGGGTCTAAAATTTAATAAGCGTGGAGGAATTATGACTCTGTAGTTTTCTCCAAGTTTCGGAGAAGCGACACACAATCTCTTAGAAAGTGTAACTTATTTCAAGTTTCATCTGTCGACCGATTTGGACCAGAGTGGAGGTATGGAAATATGTACTGTAGTATTACCCTTGGTTTTGAAGCTAACCGGATTTCCGTATTAGTTCGGTTGCCAGTTTCAATGGTGTTATCCTGGCGGCTAATATGGGAAGTGAACGGTCGGCATCGAAGGTGAAGGCAATGAGACAAATGATATACGCCTTTGTATTTCAGTGATAATACCCATCAGCCCATCCGGAAGAGACGTTTCAAATACCCTTCTGACTGTGCAGTGTGACTCGTAATATAGTGGGATGCAGGTCTGGAGCACATTTGTATTCTGCTTCCAAGTACAAAACCCATAATAACTGATCTAAGTTTTGTTCACTGCAACACGTTGTCTACCTGTGGACATGATCATCTGCGCATGGCAGTTGGCGGGTCTTGCACCTTGAGTGACCAGGGGCAGCATCGTTTGAGGCCAGCACGGATAGTGCTCTCCCATCTTCATGGGGAGGGCTTGGCACTCGTACTCTTCGCGAATCAAGCTGTGTTCCTAACCCGCAGATCGGTGCCCCCAGCGGCTCTTTTGAAGAAACCATGCCGTCGACACTTCCACAAATTGAGAGGCAAACAGTGCTGAGACGGAGTTGGGCTTACTCCTAACCATTCTAACCTATGAGTGGATCTAAACCCAGTTGAAAGATAATCAATCCGCTCACATCAGTGGATCAATTAAGCATGCAAACCACCGCAAGATATTAGGGTTCATTCTAGTTCCGTATGTGGTGAACCGCACAAGGATATGCTATTGCCTCTACCGTCTTCTCTTTGTGGGGCTGGTGAGGTTTAGGCGTCATCTTTTTTCTTATAAATATCTGAGTATGCCTAATTATATATATATATATATATATATATGCACACATATACAAGGCAAATGCTTATAAAACTATTATTGAGCCATCGAGACATACACTGAATGAGCTTAATTAGTACGAAAATCACAAGGCAAGGAACAGACCAACGGTTATTTCTTTGTTTCTTACATACCGTTTTGTTCTTTTGTGTCCGCCTAGTGATCGCAATGTTAATAAGTATAAGCAATGTATACATTTGTGCCCGATTCAGTGCTATGTGCTCATGCAATTCCAAGCAGCGTCGCTCGTCAACTTAAGAACCCATGCTCGGAAGACGCAAGGGTCCGAAAACAACTAGACTGAAAGTCAGCGTCCGAACGTTTTTCGCCATGTTGTAGGTCGATCAACACGCAATTTCTTACAATGCTACCCCGCGCGACCGAATACAGCGCCCCTTTGTAAACGCTCGCACAACATACATACAATCGTAGTTGGCTGGCGTAGTCTAATATCATTGTTTCGAACCTGATATTTGCACCACACGCGAGCCATCCGCCGCAGACAACTGTTGTCAGAAGTCGAAATCCGACGCAACTCGTTTACACGGATCGGCCAGTACTCGCTTCCATACAACAACACCGCAAGAATACAGGCATTCTAAAACCTGCTCTTTATCCAAAGTAAAACGTCACGACGACGCCACAGATATCTTAGATTGGCGAAAGCGGCTCGGGGTTTGGTAATATGTAGAGAAATCTCTCTTCTAATGGTGTGATCAGCAGAAACTCAGCTCTCAAATTAAATAATGTTATTCACTTGTTCAAGCTGCTCGCCTATAAGAATGAGCGCTGGAACAGGTGGGTGTCAATCCTGTAGTATGTCTGGGAATTTCGGTGAGTCGAAGGTTATGCCATAATTGGTAGCTACAATCGGCATGCGGTTTTGAATGATTTTCACTATCTATGGGTCGTCACACAGCAATATCACTAGCATTGTCCAAGTCAGTCGCGCAGTTACCTAGAAAAATCCCTACACTAGTAACGTAAGGCTTTTCCAGAGCACCAAATAGGACATCCTAAGTCACAAAATTGAATAGAAGTGGGGACCTTGGGCATCCCTGTCCCACACAGCTAGTGACTTCGGAAGGTGGTGACAGCTTACGTAAGCCATTGCGCTGCCAGACACATTGTTACAGAAAGATCGAAAGCCGGTGGTGTAATTGTTGTGTACTCCATTATTTTGCTGACGATGCCATTAGGCAGGCCGATCAGTCGCGTCGACAGCTTTTGCCTAGACTGCTCGGGATATCTGCTAGTCCGTACTACGGCACTGATTTCGGTGGAAATCGTACTTTTGTGGGATTATGATTTTCTCGCTCTCGAAAACCCTTCAGCGCCACTGAGATTGTATTATCTAGGACTTTGTAAATCACCGATATACTCGTGGGTGGACCGTGGATTACGGTCCCCGAACGTTTGCTACGCTTGTAACTATTTATGTTTTAAAATTGGGAGTGCTTATATTTCTTTAATTTATTATAGAAGGTGCTGGGCTAATGGTTCAACGATGTTCATGGTGGTCGTCCTTGTGCCTTGGGTCTTATGTTTTGCATATCTGGAGAGCCATGCATTGACCAAGCCAGTTGTATTTTCTTCAAATTCCCTGCAACCTGCTGACTGTGTTTAAGGAAAGTGCTCAAACATTTCGTGCGGATAAACGCAGTCTGGCGATGTATCGAGGCCTATGTGAGAGTGAATCTCTTAGTGATCTTTAAAACAGCTACTTTGCTGATGCTCTGGGTTGGGTTTTCCATTTTCTAGCTTAGCCAATCCACGTACTATGGGCTTTTCATTCCGTCAAAATGTATCACACAATACACCAATCGTATGCTTCAGGATGACCTAAAACGATACCATCCAGACCACGTATCCGCAACAAGAAGAGCTAATTAAATAAAAGCCGAGGAATGCGAACTCCGCGTTTCGGCTATTCCATACTCTTATGGGCATCCGCTCGAGTGAACTATCTCCATTTAACATAAAATCTGAAATAAAATCCTGCTGGATGCTAGCAATTAGGGTTCCTGTGGAAATTTTGAGACCAGTATCATTCACTATCAGTAATACTACTCAGAACACAGCACTGACAAAATGGTGAAGGCCAGAATGTAGGGGAATTAGTGATTCGGTAATAAAATAGGTTGTTATTTCCACCAATTACTTGAAAGCCACGTGGATCATGTGCCAACTATTCAAACGAAGCATGTCAATAACCTAGCTCCGAAGATCTGTCCAGCGAAGAACTGGAATGCTAATTCCATCTAAACGAAGTAGACATGGAATCTGAGGAGAAGCCTAAATACATCAAAGCTTATTCTTATATGGAGGATCAGCTATGTGCTGCTGCAGCGGATGGAAATTTGAGCTTAGCTGCTCGAATAATGCACGAACGGATCGATCCAAACTGCAAGGATGAAGTAGGACGATCTCCAATGCACTACGCTGCGTTAAACGGGCAGTTTGAAATTATCCGCCTTCTCTTGTGCAATCGAGCTATTGTAGACATTACTGATGCCAACAACGTGACTCCACTACATTTGGCAGCTAGGAAAGATCATCTCCGCTGTACACAACTACTGTGTCTCGCTGGTGCAGATATCAATCGGGTCTGTGCATCTGGCTGTACGCCAAGGGAACTTGCGCCATTTGATTCACCTACATGCTACTTTCTGGAGCGGTGCGAACTCGGAGAAAAGCCGAGCGCCAGTATGGTGTTTGCAAGACGATCGGGGTTCGCGCAACTCCCATCCTTGAGAAGGATTGCAACGGAGCAAAAGGATAGCAAAACTAGGAAATGAGGAACAGAGTTAAGGGTTGTAAAGCCGGTTTCGGTGATTACTAAAAACTCCCAGTGGCAACGGATAGTCGATCTGACCTTGAAGCTTTATTAAGCACACGTCCGTTTACTCAGATCGCCATTCACAATTAACCTTCGGACTGGAAGGTTCTCATAGATGTGAAAATATTTGGGCCAAAAATTCATCATACTACGCACGAAAAGTTAATGTATATTGGGCTGATTTCCTAAGTACATCTAAGTTTGTATGTACTTGACACTTGATCAGTAAATACACCATTGACCGAGTTGCACATAATCATTATTATTGAGAGGTGCGAAACATCTCGGATAGTGTCCCAAAATAAATAAGAAAAAAAGCGCAACACAGATGTCAGATGAACTCCCAGTAACGGATGAATATCGTTTCAGAGGTCTAACAGCCGCACATTAATAATAATAACAATAGTAATAATAATAATAGTAATAATAATAATGTCTCAGCTGTACGTCCTAACGGCGCTGCATTGCCGTGCGACCACCACCAGTCGCACGCGGGCTGAATACACTGGGAGGAGGCCCACCGCTATGCGGATTAAAACTCGCGCCGCAAGATTACGAGACAAGCTCATTATATCTAGGCTATGAGCCGACCAACAAGGTATTGTGTGGCAAAATGTGATACATTATGGGTCAGAAATGAGGTCGTGGTAGGAGGGGGAGGCTAAGCGGGAGGATGAGGGGTCAATATACTCACAACACTAACGTCAGTAAGGTAGACTCACTGCTATGTCCGATGAGGTCAGGTCAGATACCAAGGAAGATACAGGCTTTCGCCTAACCAGTGTCATGTTTCTTGCACCGGTAAGCGAAAAAGAGCATTCGATACTTCATCGTCTGGTTAAATTCCGCGGCTTTTGCAAAATATTGAAGCAAAAGCAAAAGCATTCTCTCTATTGTCATGCAGTGCGAAGTTATAGCGACACGATGCAATAAAGTTACAATAATTCCTGGAAAAGTTCAGACTAACAAAAACGTAGGCCTCTTTTTAAATAAAATCTACGGTGCTGCATACTTTTAATGCTGTAGGTAGCTTATTCCAGCTATTGACTACACCAGACACGAAGTTTATCGTTCTGAAATCCAGCCTGCATCTCTGAGGCTTGAGCTTCTCTTGGTGTCCTCGCAGGTGACCTGAACGGCTGACACAAACAGTTCAGTATACTGGGTACCATTAAAACGCTTCATGATGTTAAAGGTCTCCATTAGGTTCCCTATTCATCATCCTCATCATTATACAAGTTAGCTAGTGGTGGGAAACACCTCAGCTACTGTACCGCAATACATAAAAGAAGAAAGGGGAATAAGCAACAGATGCAAGCCAGCTGAGCTACCGGTAACGGATGGGCATCGTTCCGAGAACCTACCAGCTGACTACTAAGCAGCAAGAAAAAATCACTATGTAGAATTATATAAGGCTAATTAGTGTTCTTGATTGGAGGGGAGGCTAAGAGGGATGGGGTGGGACAACGAAACTCAAGGCCACAGCCTCCGGTTTGAAATATTACGTTCCGCTCCCAGGCCAGTTTGTTCAAGTTTATTGTGTCATATGTTGAATATCTTTTGTCATATTATATCACTCTTTAGTTTTTGCTTCTTCATTATCCAGTGATATATTTGGATCCATTCCTGCCGTAATTTTCTCGTTTTTTGTCTGAGTAGCGTTTCGTCGATCCTGCTGGTAACTTGCTCGTGTCCTGTCAAGTCCAGTTTATCTTGTTGTTTTCATTGTTGAAGCAGTTTGGTCCTCTAGTTGGCGTAGTTCTGTCTAGTTAGCCATTTAACGTTTTACGACCTAACTACCTGTAATAATTTATCATAACTTCTGTACCTCCTCATTACGTTGATTCTCTCGTATCGATCGGTACTTATTTTTGAAATGGCGAAGCAGTCTCCTTGTGGTATTTGCTGCAAAGTCGTTGGACATGGAGCAAATGCGATTAAATGCAGTCTCTGCAGTGTAAAGCTTCATATTTCGTGCTTTGGTCTCACTGTAGACCAATTTCGTGTAATTCATGGCATTCAGAACGGATTTTTAAAGACCGTTTGTAAACAATGCCAAGCTGAACTTGTGCAGAATAGAACCGACACGTCTAACAAGCGGATCAGTACAACGATGTGCTCTAAAATGCCCAGCTCGCCTTGTGCTACACCACAGTCAGGGAAGCAGCCAGCGCCTAGCACAACATTGCATCCATTCCGGAAGAAAGGTACTAACGTTCCGTCAGGCTCTTCCTCAAGGCCTACAATGTGTTCACTTAACAGTAGAGCTCCAATTTGCAATAATTAAATTGAGGATAACGAATGGAAAGTGCGAACACCGAAGAAACCAAGAGCGATATCTAACGACCTGAGGCGCCGTAGCCTCATGGCCTTTTGCGCACCTGAATCAGGTGATTGTAATTCTCAGGTGCGCTATGAACATGACGTCGAGTTTTTGCAATCATTGATTGATAGACTACTCGATGTCAATGAGGGCGGGCTCAAAGTGCAGCAGATCGCCCGTCTAGGTAAGAGAATGGAAGGCAAAAGTCGACCCATGAGGGTGACATTTGTCGAAGAAGCAAGTCCCAAGTTACTATTGTCCAGTCTTAATAGGCTGAAGGGTCTAAAGATCCACGTGCGCGCTGACTTAGACCCAGCAGACAGAGAGAAACTCAAGTCTGCTATGACTGAACTAATACGACGTACGGAGGATGGAGAAGCAAATCTCCGTATTGTAAATTTTCGGGTAGTTGCCCGGATTCCTCCACGAATCCGGATCAACAGGTTTCTAATGCTTCAGGCGCGCCCAGCTGTTCCTACCGCGGTCTTCTCGTAGCCTTTACTAACGTTTGCAGTCTGATGAACAAGCGCGACGGGCTGTACTACTTTGTAACCCCTTAGCGACCAGACGTATTAGGCCTTGCAGAGACATGTTTAAACTCCGAGGTAACCGCCCAAGAAGTGGAAACCACTGGCTACTCATGCTTCCGCTGTGATAGACCATCAAATGATCGCGGTGGCCTTCTACTTTACATAAAGTCTTCCTTGTGTGGGAGACTAGTGAGCGCCTACCAAAGCGCTGCTGGTCTATGTGAACAGTTATGGTGTTCGATTCACCTCAGACGCTGCGAGTTGCTCGTGGGCGTGTTATATCGCATTCCACTGAGCCGCTGTTTGGACTGGTTGCCGCATGTCCGCAAACACATGAGTCATCAGATGTTCCTACTCTTGGGCGATTTTAACTTGCCCCGAATACAGTGGCCTGAGGCTGAACTTCTCCCCCGGCCATTTTGAAGTCGAGAGGTTTACGGAGTTGCTATTTGAAACCGGGGCCACACAGCACATCAACCAACCGACAAGCATTACTGCACGCGCGACTCCCTCGTGCTTAGACCTGCTTTTGACTAGCCGTAAGCAGGGTGTGCATAACATTCAAGTCTTAGAGCCTCTGGGAGCGAGCGACCACTCGGTGATCATAGGCAGCTTGGAATTACCGCTGCCGTATTCTCCCCCACTAGAGTCAGCTTTCAACTATTGGAAGGTGAATTCTAATGGCCTCATTCGAGCAGCAAGCCAGATAGACTGGTCTTCACCACAGGATTGGTCTATTGAAACCTGGTGGACTATCATTAAAGAGGGGGTGAAATAGTTGTGCGCCCGATTTGTGCCCCTCAAATTTCGGAAAGTTGGGCCAATCAAACCACATTGGTTCGACAAAGAATACAACAAACTGGCCTGACGGCGACGCATACTATGGAACAAATTCGTGTTATCTGGCTCTGATGTGGACTACAATGCGTACGAGATACAGCGAAATCGCTGCAACAACTCGAAAACAAGAAAACGCAGAAGCTTCAAAGAGCAGCTTGCAACCGCCACAAAAACTGCTCCCAAGAGAATCTTTACATACGCAAAGCGGCGCCTGAGACCTGTAGCCAATGTCCCTGTGTTAGAAAGCTCCGATGGACAGCCCCTGACCTCGAGTGCAAATCGTGCGTCGCATTGGCAGCGCACTTCGCCTCCGTATTTGCAAGTGTCCAGGTGTCTGTAACGAGTTCAACGAATACCGTTGCAGCCGAACTTAACAGCCTGGACTGCAATATTGAGGATGTACGCCAGCTTCTAACGCATCTTGACGGGACGAAGCCTGCTGGGCCAAATGGTATACACCCACTGATCCTCAAGTCCCTATCGGCCATCATCGCGCCTTCTGTATCTGAAGTGTTTAACAGGTCACTATCCACTGGACGGTTACCGGACGACTGGAAATGCTCAGTCGTAAAGCCCATACCGAAAGGTGGTAACCCAAGCAAAGTGGATAACTACCGGCCGATCTGTCTGACCGCTGTTTTGGCAAAGACGCTCGAGAAGATCGTGAAGAAGAGCCTACTGCATCTTCTCAAGTCGAAAAACCTGTTGACCTCCGCACAGCATGGTTTCATGAAAGGTCGCTCGTGCATCACCAACCTGCTGTTGACGAGGCACGAATGGTTACAAGCGCTGAACCAAAGCCAATCGGTCGACATCATTTACATTGACTTCAGTAAGGCTTTTGACAATGTTAATCATGCACTGCTCGTTGACAGGCTGAGGATGTGCGGTGTTGGTGGTTTGCTGCACAAATGGATCAGAAATTTCCTTGTTGATCGGAAGTGGAGAGTCCAGATGGACAACCGTCTAACGGACTGGTATCCATCGAGCAGCGGCGGGCCCCAAGGCACTGTGCTGGGACCGATATTGTTACTGATCCATGTAAACGATGTGCCGCAGCTACTCCAATCATCTTGTGCTTTGTTCGCAGATGACTTGAAGGTGTGCAAAGTAATCCGCACACTCAATGATTGTGATTTACTTCAGTAGGACCTCGACGGCCTCTCGACATGGTCTGCAGAGGTCATCCTTCCGATCAACCCTGCCAAGTCGCAATTTAGAAGGTTGGGTAAGTGTGAGCACAGCCGAACGCACATAGTGGCTGGT